TGCACACCCGATTGGTGCTGTGCACCCGCCGTCACGCGTGACACACAGCAGACACAGAGAGCGCATATGGATAAGAACTTCGGCTAGTGGCGCAGTATTGGTTCGACTGATAAGAGGCTTGTCCTTTCGAGCTATCGTATACCGTACCCTTACTAACTACACTGACAGCACGTGAGTACGTCACCTTCCCCTTGCAACAATGTCACATACGCCGTGCTTGCTGCATCATGTATTCTCTCTTTCTTCTGTGCCTCCTCTTCAGTGAACTTTTTGAAGTACGAATAAAAACGATGGTGATGCTGCTGCGCTACGTCCTCCTGGTGTGTGTCCTCTGCGTCTGCCTGGGCTGCGGCTGTGAGGCGGCCAACCAGGATGCTACGACGCTAAATCGCGACAGCTCTACCAATACTGATGAAGACAATATTATCACGGAGGACACACCCAACGCGGCCTCGAATGGGGCGACCACGAACACTGCAAGTGATGCTCCCGTCAAAGAACCCAAAAAGGACGGCAGTACCACCGCCCAGCACTTTTCGCCCCTTGTGCTTCTTGCGGGCGCGTGTGCTGCTGTGCCGNACATCTACGCCAGCCCGGAGGATGGGCAGGAGTCGCCTGGCACTGCAACTATCAACGAGGATGCCTCGAACACTGCAAGCGCTCCTTCCGTCAAAGAACCCAAAAAGGACGGCAGTACCACCGCCCAGCACTTTTCGCCCCTTGTGCTTCTTGCGGGCGCGTGTGCTGCTGTGCCGCTGGTGGTTTGGTAAACCGGGCACACACATGGGAGGCATGTGCTTACCCAGCCGCTTGTTTTATTAATACCAACGTATTCATTAACCTTTTTGCACGCAGACACATTGGGCTCCTAATATAAGTCTAAGCGTGCCTCTATCCCGTAACTGTTCTCTTTTTTTTTCTTTTGTTGGGGTGTGCCGCAGCGTTCCTCGCTGTGGGGGTATATCTTTTTAACTGTTCATTGCTTTCAGAGACCTCCCTTGTGTGCTTGTGGAGGGAGGTGCTCCTTGGACCCTCCTGCTGCAGGCCCGGACTGCCGGTGCCCGCACACCCGTGTGTCGGCCTGTCGTGGTGGCGTTTGTTTTGTTCTTTTTCGGGGAGTGGTGCAAATAGGGTGATCTGTGTGTGCGTGATTGCTCCCTTGTGTGTGTGTGTCTGTTGGGCTGCTGTGTGTGTGTGAGTGTGTGCCCCTTTGCTTCCCTCCTCTCCTGCGCAGCTCAAGGCAACAACTACCACTACCACCGTGACTACTGCAGTGATGACGCTGCGCCACGTGCTGTTTGTGTGTGCCTGGGCTGCGACTGTGCGGTGGCTAACGACGGGAGACTTTTGAAGGTGCACCATCCCGATGGACACGCTGCTGCGGCTGAAGCCGATAGGATTGAGGATGCGGTGCGTGAAACTGTTGGGCAGCAGGTGGTGGATGCACCAATTACCCATCAGGGTGATGGGCAGCTGATACCGTTTGTGGGGGAGCGAAGGCACACTTCTGCGGGTGAATCGATGCAAGAAGTGGGGAATGCTTCCGAAGAGGACGAGAAGGGGGAAGACGAGGCTGATGGTGGTGACGATGTGGGTGAAGAAGACGAGGAGGAGGAGGAAGAGTAAGATAAGGATGACGAGGATGAGAGTGAGGCCCAAACAGGGGACGATCGAAGAAGTATGGGAGAACTCCCAAAGAAAACAAATGCCGAAGATAAAGCTCAACGCAAGAAAGAAGCTACAGAAAGGAAAGAAAAAGACAGAGTTACATCTGCACAGTTAGGCGCAGCATAAGGTGGCACTCCTGGTCTCCCCGGCTTCCCTCCATCTCCCACCTTAGATCTGCCTCCTAAGGCGAACGGGCAGCTAGCCTCGGGTCGAAGTGACAATCCCCCGGAGTTGGCGAGAAAACACAAGAGCGGTGTGACTGCGAGCCAAGACCACGCTGACAAAGGAGATGGGCATGAACCCACAAATCAGCTGCAAGGGACCCCAGTGAGCGGCATTCCTCCTGTCATTGGCGTTGGCACTGGAAGTGCCGATCAAACTGGCAGCAATGCTGATAGTGGGAAGTCTGGGAGGGAGAAGGCCAATGGAAAATCGCCTTTGCCCAACGGTGAGCTCACAGAGAGCGGCATCCAACCTCCTATTGCAGAAGACGTTCGCAGCCAGACGATTAGTGGCAAGGACCCACGGACATCTGGTGGTACACACAACACTGGCAGTGCAGTTGTCGGAGTTGGTTCCTCTGCAGTTGACGCTGCCACTGCGACAGAATCTAATGTCAGCCCACCTGATGCTGCGACGATTGCTGGTGGAAGGGGTAATGACGCAGCGGCAACGCAGGGACCATCAGGGTTCGCTTCCACCAGTCCTGCTGCGGTAGAGAAGGTGAAGGGTACAAGGAAGCCGGACAGCAGCGTCAGTCCTGTGTGGGTGCACGGATCTCTTCTGGTGTTGATGACGGTGTCGATGGCGGTGACGGCTGTGATCTGAGTGCCACCATTGGGCATGGAGCATGCAGCCGTTGGCTCATGATGGATATGTTTCTCCCCTCTTTCTAATTGTTGCTTAGGGCTCTGCTTCCCCTTTTTCGTACGTGTAGTAGAGTGCGAGGAGCAGCTGTGTCGTGCTGGCTGAGTTGCCGCACTGCATCTCCGTACTGTCCGCAACACCCACACCGCAGAGGGACTGAGGGAGGTGGGTGTGTGGCATCCTCGTGGTGTGTGGGGTGGAGGGTGCGTTAATCCTAATTGCTTTTCATTTCTGCCTGCATGTGCTCGTGGA